TTACAACTTTGCAGTAACTAAATTCTATGCCATATATCAAACAAGGGATAAATTTATTAGGAAAAAAAAGCAAAAAGCAAAAAGTTCATCTCACAAGTACTTAAACCAAAATAATTCACAATTGTAGCCTTTAGCTGAAACACTTCTCCCCTTAGCATTGTAGGTGTAGCCATATTTCTTGATAGTTGACAAAGTATAATAGGTATCTCATTATGAGGGGAAAGACATGTCATAATTCCTCTATAGCATGAAAAGAAGTTGATTTAGAATTTGATTTAGAAGTTTATTTCAAAGTAAATAAGTTGTTTCAACAATTGATTTTCTTTTCATTTCCTTTTTAAAAAAAAAAAAGCAATACTTATAGATTTCTTAAAGAACTATAGATTTCAAAACAGTTAAGTTATTGGAATGGTAATATAGGCAATGATATCATTTCTGAATTAGTATTCTCTGAAATAATGGACTTTTAAAGAAGTTGAAACCTTAAGTGTTAAAAAAGAAAAAAAAATCATTCTAAAGCTATATCATTTTTCTATTTCTCCCTATTTAAATATTGTTGATTAATTATATTATTGACTCAACTTTTAACATTGCTAAAAGAACTAAATTTTCATTCAGCTTTTAACTAGTTAATAAAGTGCAATAGGTATCTCGTCACGAGGGAGAGATATGTCATAGTTCCTCTATAGCATGAAAAGAAGTTGATATAGAAGTTTATCTCAAAATAAATAAGTTGTCTCAACAACTGATTTTCTTTTCTTTTCTTTTGTTCTTTTTGTTTCTCGCTTTTAAAGCAATACTTATAGATTTCTTAAAAACATATCAATTTTAAGACAATTAGGTTGTTGGAATGGTAATATAAGTAATGATATCATTTTTTAATTAGTATTCTCTAGAGCAATGGACTTTTAAAAAAGTTGAAACCTTAGTGTTAAAAAAAAAAAAAAAACACTCTAAAGCTACATCATTTGTTCTATTTTTCCCTATTCAAATATTGTTGATTAGTCTCATTATTGACTTAGCTTTTAACATTGCTAAAACAACTAAATTTTTATTTATATACTCCTTGTGCATTTATTTATCGCTTAGTGTTCCTTATGAGTGCAACCTCTTTTTACAAAGAAAACTTTTTGGAATAATAAATTAATATTGTATATTATAAAATTCAAAACAACTAATAAACCCCATTAACACTCCTAAATTTAATATTTTAGATCTATTTGCTTGTAAAATAACTTGTCTTTTGACAATTACATGTTCAACATCTGCCTATAATAATCAAATGAGAAGAAAATAAGGATTCAATTGGAAAATACCTTTAACAAGTCAAATTGCAAGCCAAGGGTACTCTATTGCAACTTCCACAACAACATGGAAATAGAAATTGATGTGCACATCTTTCTTATTGCTTATGCAACATCTTGCTCATAAAACTTCCATCTACAAGCATCCCCATTGTTGACAGAAGAAGTATATTTAGAATCCAAATAATTGGGTGAGCTTTCCTCCTCAATGAATGTTTTACCTACTTTCGTTGCCATAAATAGGTCATGTATCAACTCATAACTTGCATTGTAATTTGTTTTGTTAGGAGACTATGGAAAGCTTCTCAAACTCCCCCTATCCATTAATACTATTTCTCAACATTCAAAGCTCTAAGAATGAAATAGAACCCTACGTTGTAAACCAAACAACCCTATCATTTTACACACCAAAGAGAATCAAAACATGCAATAAATTAAATTTTACCCAATTTGACTTTTTTTTTTTTTTTGGAAATTTGCAATTGGAGTGTCTCTAGGCCAGCTTTTGTGTATCTCGACACTAATTATCTCCTTAAGATGGATGATCTTAAAGAGCACATGTACCACCTAGTGCATTCAAGGAAATTAATTTCCTATAGTGCTAGTCACCATTAACCCACCCTACAAGAGAATTCTTGCTTTGAATGCAACCCTTAGGGTTCCAATTCAATATGATAGATGCTAAATGATAAATTGGAAAAATATTTAGTTTAATTTGGTGCATGAAGATTGAAGCAATGTGTACTGAGGTGATTTTCCAAATAGAATATGAGATGATCAAATCCACATTAAAAAGCTAAAACTCTTGGAGGAAGTTCACTATTCTTATTGAAGTCTCTAAAATCAATTTAAAACTAAAAGCTCCAATAAATCAGGTAGTTTGGGTTGCTTCTAGTAATAAGCAAATAATATTTAAACATTATTTTCTTAATCAAACTTCACCAAATTTAGATAGAAGTAGCAAAATCATATACTTTTTAGAGGATTTGAAACTATTATCATAATACAACTTATGCTTCTTCTTTGCTTTTTGAGAAGCTATCCGCTTCACATCATCTCTTACTTTATTTGATCTATACATAATTAGAAGGAGAGTAGAAAATTAATTGAGAAGAAGCAATTACTAGACGGAAATGATGATTTCTAATTCAAAGTTTAAAATCGTTAAGGTTTTGATTAGGGTTGTAGAAAAGTTTTGATTTCACTAGAAAATTTCAATTTAGGGCAGAATGAGCATGTGTAATGGTAAAAATCAAATGAGTTAAGAACCACTATAAGTGAGTGATCTCATCCATGGAAATGTTTTCATTTTTGTTGACTTTTTTACTACATTATAATGTATTGAATTATGATATTGATGATGCCCCATATAAATAAAAATAATTTCACCAAAATGAGTTATACACTTCACTTTATTTATTACTGATCAAAAAGAAACTTTATTTATTTTCCCTCCCATGCTGAAATATCAATTTTTTTTTTTGGCAAAAAATGTCCCTTAAAAAAAATACTTCCTCTAATTCAATTTTAAAAGGCTTAGATTTTTTGCAATAAAGTAAAGATGTAAATTTTATATTTATCTCTAATTAATTACTTTTTTTAATATATATTATAATTATTTTTCTAAAATAAAAAAAAAAAGTAGTATACTTACAATACCATGTAATATTGTAAGTGTACAATATGGCTTATTGTTATATAGTTAGCTCTTTTTATTATAAGGTTTACCTATGATATTATATGCATTCACTTATTTAATGTCATGTTAGACTCATGTAATGTTATATCATAATTGTAAACTTATAATTATATATATAAGATATTGTAACTATAGTATTGTCATTAAAATAAATATAAAATAAGAATAAATATATTAAATAATATCTCATAAATAAAAGTGAATGACTAAATTTAAACCCTCTAAATTAAAAAATTAAGTTTATTAAAATTAAACGAAAGGAATATTGATTATAAGATAGGAGATGTAACGGAGGATAGACTTCTTTCACAAATTTGTCCCATCTCCATCTCCAAGTTTGACTTTTGAGACTTCTAACTAAAGTCTTAAATTATTTAATCACATGTCATAATAACAAAATTTTGATTTTGTTTTTTTTTTTTAGCTATGTTATTTTTTCTTTATGTAAAGTGATATTAATAATTTTGAGAATTGGATTTATTGATAAGTAACTATTATTATTTAATAAAAAATTTGTATTAGAGAATACACAAATTGACTCAAAGTGTCCCTACTTGTCTCACAAAAAAAAAATTAAAGGAAATGTTTGATGATTTTTTTTAAAGGAAAAATATTTGATAACTAATGTTATACAATATTACATATATTTTATTAGAATAATGACAAGAAGGATAACTACCATGGAACAAAGCTAATTTGGGAACCATCTATGTAGCTTCCCATGTACACCGAATTAAGTAGCTAACTTGTTTTTCATTAAAAGAAATAAAATTTTGTAATTTATTAATTTCTCTTTTATTTTCTGCTTTACTAAGCCTTCCATCTAAATCCAAGACAATAAAGAAGAGTGTGAAAATTAAACATGTGAGTTTAAATATAAGATTTATATCCAATCTAAAATCAATTGATAATAGGTTGAACACGTCACATGCAGATTTAGTGTGAATGTCGATTTCTTGTCACATGGCTTAATAGTTGAGTCTACACTCTGAATTCTACTACTATGGCTTAATAATAGAGTCTGAACTTTATTATCATGTGAAAATTGAGTATATAGATTTTAACACAAGACTTGCGTCCAGTCAAAAATCAATTGACAATAAGTGGAGTAACTCTTTCTATATTTAACCCACAAGTTTCTTTGTTATATTATTGATGTAGGATTTTCCCACTCAACAAAGACAACCAATCAATTAGAACTGAGGAAAAAAGACCAAGACAAAGGACCAAGCCTTAATACCCAAATTGAAAACAAAGGAGAACCATCCAACACTACTAGAAATTTTAGATGTTCAGACTGATGTAATTCAGACCAACAAAAAACAGTCTGAAAAATATTTTATTCAGACCAAAATTGGTCTAGATATTGATTGGTAGGTGACACCAACTCAATTGAATATATTCAAACCACAAACGATCTGAAAATAATTGGCAAGAGTACAGTAAAATGCGCGAAAAATATTCAAGCCGACTATGGTTTGAATATTTTCAACAAAAAAAAAACGGTGATTTTCACTGTTGGATTTTTTTTTTTTTAATTTCCAAACCGAGAATGGTCTGAAAAATGGTGAAGTAATTTCTTACCATCTCTAGCAAATGAAGCAATTTTATTGGGTATATCCGGACCAACTTTGGTCCGGATAAGATGCAGAAAATTAGATATTCGGACCAAATTTGGTCCAGATTATGTGTAGAATATTTGTTCTGCTATGACATGACGATAGCCAGCTTTTGACACTTTTTCCAAACCAAAATTGGTCTGAACAACTCCTACAGAATCTAGAAACTTTTTTTCATTCTTTTTATTTAAGGACAACTAGGTTTTCTCGATCCCCAATTCCATTTCTACC